TATATAGTGTTGGGTGATTGACTCGGTTTTCGTCACACCGGTTTCAATCGGTTCTTTTTTAATATTTTGAGGCGGTGTTTTTTTGAAACCTTGATTTTTCGAATACCGAGTAAAACGGATATTTACAATTGATTAAACCGGGGTTTCACCTAGTTTATTTAATTATATACCAGAATCTAAAAAATTCTAAACATTTAGTTCATTGAAACTGAAACTAGCATTTTTTATTAATTTTATGTCTGAATACTGGAAAATTCTCCACAACAGAAAATTACTCAAAAAATAAAAGAAAAACGGAACAAATATCGTTCACTGTTTCTTTAAAGCTTTTATTTAACTTGCTCTGTATGCATGTAGGTATGTATGTATGTATATTTGTATGTATGTAAGTATGTTTGTTTAGAGCAAATCTTGCAATCAATCAATCCATTTTTGACGCACTTCCCGATGACCTAGAGACTTAGAACTTCGTCCGATAGGTGGCGCAGGAGTCCATATATTTGGTAAACCAGTCCAATTTATTTCATATTTAGGAAAGCTTCTTTTAAAAATATTTTTTTACTATAAACTTATTTTTTTGTGTTGACGCAGCTTACTCAACCCAGTCTAAATCGCCTGCATGTCGTCTTCATTCTCATCACACAGCAGGTTCAGGAAAAGGCCAGATCTGACATGGTTTTTAAGAGGTGATTAATGTCAAAGTGGGCTTAACAGTTTAACCTGCTACGAAGCAACTCAAAAAAATTAAAGGGACAAAATTTCCCATGAATGGCCTGTCAATAACAGACTATTTTTGTATAGTCGGTCTGATTCAGCGGGGGGTATATTCTAATTTCCAAGACAGTCGGTGCTATATGCTCGATTTTACTCGACAAATAACTGTGAAACCCATTAAGTGTTAACTTTTTACTCATACTTCGAACTTATTTTGAATTATTGATCTCTATTTTTAGCAGTCATATACTGCCTATCCTAAGTTTCGCCCGAAAAAAATGACTACTACTAAGTTATGACCAACCAGTGTATTTGTTAAAATTCAGTTAACTATAGGAGATGTGGCCTGAAAAGTTCTTTAGATTTCCGTTTTAACAATACATCCGAATTACAACAGCAGAGCGAACAACAGCTAATTCAATTAAATCCTGAGCATTTAAAGTGCACAACTTCCGTTTTTAACGCGCCAGCTGTTTGCTGCAAAAAGTTTTCACTGCCAACAGAGAAATAAAAAAAGATAAACAAAAACGCCGAAAGAGACCAACCGAATAATTCAAACAAAAGAAAAGTTGACAGCAAGTTCAGTACGCGCCAGTAGAACTTTTAGTTTTAAAGCAGATTTTTTGCCCTTTTCAGGCTTTACGCTCGTTTAGTTTGTACTCTGGCAGCGAGCGGCTGGTAAATAGACAATTTGAGCACGTACAACCGGCTGGATATGGAATGCGGTTTTGTTTCTGCGCTGGTTAAGGCTGCTTTGCCCGTGACCGGTGGTGTTATAAGTGTTGTTAGTGTACTATTTGTACTCAGCAAAGTTATTTATTTTGTTACCTTCTGCATGCTGTTGCACGGAGAAATGTTTTGTATGAGGTGTTAAGGCTTTTCGTTTCTGCTTTTAAGTGGCAAAAAAGTGTTTTCCATAAAATTTCTTATTAAATTTTTTTCTGTTTAAGAGCAGAAAACTAGCTTGATTCTATTTAAAATTTTAATGAAAGTTCGAAAAATTGTTTTTTTTTTAATTCTTGAAGAGGCAAATTATTATTAAATTTTTTGTTTTCAAGGGACGAAAATTTTCCGCCGCTACTTTTTTCCAATAACTAACCTCTAATTCTTGTTTTTAATACAAATTAGAAAAGAATTTCAAATAATTTTCTATGCCACCAACTGCACAGGCATACGTACATACATTTGTATGCACTTCACAGAGGTCGCTATGGCGTATGAGTAAAATTTCAATGAAATTCAGTTTATTTAGCTAAAAGCTGCTGCTTCTGCCACGACTTTTTGATTTTGCTTTTTAGCCACTAGAAGAATCATGCAATTCATTGCTTAAAAGTATTTGGCTTGCTTTCAACTCCGATTGTATGTTAATATGTATATTTCCCCTATTTTGAATTCAAAGACGTAAAGTATGTCAACTCTTTGGCTTTGAGTCAATAAAAATCCATATCAGGGGAAGCGAATATTTATTTAGTCATGTTATTTAATGAGTAAATGGGAGACTTTTGTAAATAAAAATTAATCAGCTTAACCCTTTAAATTTTTGCGTAAGTTAGAAAATTCTGGACAAAAAATTGTAATAATACTATCTTAGCTAAAAACTTACGTCCAATGTTTAGGTGAGAAAAAATGTTTGACCAACTGCCAAGATGTCAGATATTTATTTCCACTTTTTAACCCTTACAATATGAATATGAATATGAACGTATTTAAAAAAAAAATATGGAAATATTATAAGGATAATGATGACTCTTTTCTCCTCGTAATTCTAAATTTACAGTTTTAGATCAAATTATCAATATATCAAAATTTCCAACAAGTAATGCGTCGGCGATTCGCCGTAGGAACGCTAAAATTACCCAAAAAAAAAGCTACAAGAGACGTAAACTTAATTTTGGGTCGTAGGTTACGCATCTATAAACCGTTTTTCAAGATCAGGTTATTTTCCCAAGATATTATCAATTTCAGTTTAAGTTTGCATTGTGAATGAAAAAAATTCACACAGTAATATTCCTTCTTGCTCATATAAAAAATCGTAACTCATTTTCATTTGACCATTAACAGCTTTTTTTTTGTCAATGTATTGTGGTTTATTAACATTTTATTTTTAATATTTTTATTGAGTTTTGTACCCCGATCAGCTTTTTTATTTATCCATCGAATTTCTGAGTTAGTAGCTTCATTCTTCGTAAAAAAAATTTGCTTAATACAAATGAAAAAATAATTGTGGAAAGGACTAAAAATATAGCGATGGAAGATTTTGTTGAATGCAACCAAATAACGATACAAATTTGGGATACAAAAGGTTTTTTACATTTCTTCCCTTTACGATGAGAATAACAAAAGTATTTTACATTTGCTCCCTCCTTAATTGATGTAGAGATACGTATTTATGGTAAAACCTCAACCTAAATTTAACCGTTATTTGACTGTTCAGTTCAATCTAGCTACATTTTTATCGATATTTATCAGTAAAAATATATATATGTTATCGATATCGATTATAAAGTTACATATCGGTATACAAATTTTTATAGTTATATCGTTTCTTTATCGTATCCGTATACATTTTCCTATTTGTAAATTTGTTCTGTAGGTTTTTATTTTGTTTAATCCACAGAATGCTCAATGCTTTTTAATATCAGGGAGAGTGAAATCGTATTAAATTATGTTGAGTTGTTGGCCTTCCTTTTGGAATTCGATTAAAAGCTGCCTGCCGCTGACTGAAAACATTATTTACTTGAACGACTACATAGACTAAGAATTTTCATAATCTTGTATTTTATACATTTAAATATGTACACATGTACTATATAAATTTCACCCTTTTCCACCCACTTCCCTCCTTTACACTCACCTCGCGCGCAATATTTGATTATCCAACAAGTGATAAGTGCTACTAATACCATCACCATGCGGTTCACAGACGCGCACATGCAGGGCGGCGCGACACAAATGGAACCAAGAGAAGTAGCTGAAGGAAGAATAAGAAAGAAAACAACCAAAACTAAATAGTAAGAAGTCACAGAAAATGTGATATGAAACAGAGTATTATGTCAATGTTTTGCACTGCAGTGCCACGTTGTGTGCATTGTGGCTGATCAACGTTACGAGCTTTGTAGAAGGGCTCTTCGCCATAGAAAACATACCCACACAACTGCAGATATGTACATACATTGCAACAACAACAACATATTGCATACCACTCTACTTACATATAATTCAAATTTGTCAGATTCTGCAAGACACGCGGATCCAATGTCTTGAATTCATTGCCCGTCAGCAGCAGTGATGTAAGATTCTGCATGCAATCGAAGGCATGCAACTCGAAGTGCACCAAGCGGTTGTCGTTCAGGTGGCTGCAAGAGGTAAGAGAAAAATAATAAAAGAAGAGCAAAAGAAATAATAGAATTTGACTCAGATAATAGTTATTAGACTAAAGCAAGCTATAAGCCACAATCTACAGTTTGATGATAGCTTGCAAAATACGAGCGTGTGGAGGTAAAAGCACATTGTGTCGAGTTAGTTTAGAAGGCGGGACGTGGCAGAGGGGAGATATTTATAGTAGCAAGACAAAATAATGTGATATGGAAATGGAGTAGAAGGAGGGACCGCTTGAACCACTTGAGAGACAGGTACGTAGCGGGCGTATAGGTAACAAAGTGGGAAATGAAGAGAATTTTGTGACGTAGAAAATTTTAAAAGTAAAATAAACTAACGGCGTTATATTTTTTCGAAAAACAAATTCAGAGTGTAACATTTTAAAGAAAGGGCATGCAATATGTCTGTAAAAATGCTAAGAAAAGTACACGAAAACTTTACAGCCCTGGCGGTGGGCAGAGTAAAAAGAAAAGCTATAAAATAAAATATGTACATACATATAATGAAAGAAAATCGCAGCTAAAAAACAGAAAAAGTCTTAACAATTTTTAGGATGGTTTTCCTCACTGAACATACCTAAATAACAATAAAAAAAAAATTATATATATAAGCTTAATATTTCATCCAGAGGATGCGGCTGTCATCAAAGCATTATTTGGTTATTTACTTTGTCAAAGATTGATTGTTTTTTTTTGTCATAATTGCTAAGCAAAGTGGAAGTGATTAAAGTTGCAAACAGACAAATTTCCTCTTTGTGAGACACAATTGAAAGATATTGTTAGTAGCACAACATAAAAAAGGCTTAAAATTCAATGCTGCATACCAAACTAAAAAAAAAATGGTGTGCACTATGGGTGTTACGTGGCGTATGAGCAACTTTAATCAATATAAATATTCCTTTGAACTCTACGTTAACTCAGGCCCACTTGCAGAACATCCAGAGTTAAATATATTTATAATAGATAGTTAAATAGCTCAGATTTAAGTTGTTATATTCCTTAACCAGACAATGTCTTGCAGCATTGAAAACTGGCCCAGAGTTAAGTAATCCGAGGGATGGCTAAATTAAATAGGCACCACTCTCTCTTTTTTGACGTTTGATTATATTTCTTATTAGAACTTGAATATAAAATTTCAAACACTTACATACATACATACATATATAGGTACAAATTGTAAATTGGCCAGTGGCACTTCTGAGAGTTCTCTTAATTGGATGGACCACTAACACGGTTGGTGCATATTAATCGCATATATTTTTTACGCCAGACTGACCCAAACCTCAGAGCTGAATGCGAAAAAATGAATACGTGAATATGTATGTATGTATATATCGATGGCTGAGTGGAAGATCGACCTATTTCGGCTGCCAGTTCGAAAACGCTCCATCTCAGAATTTTATTGAAAAACACTCTATCTCAGAATTTGGTTGAAGAACGCCCTATTTCAGAATTCGATTCAAAAATGCCCTATCTCACTTCAAAATGTATTGAAAATGTGCTGATATACGTTTTTGAAAGGTTTTTTTGTATTAAATGTACATATCCAGCCAACATTGCATCAAACAATTTTTTCTTTTGATCTATTTATTCGCATTAATTTTATCCTACTTCGTTTCATGCCAATCAAAACAGACTGCCAAAATTCAATTTGCTTTTGATTGCCCATTATCAACATGATGGCCGAAAAATTGAGTAAACAGAAACGTAGATGTGCACGTATATCTAAGTTACGCCTAAGCACCGCAAATGCCATGCTGCCATGGCTTACCGATCTGCCATATCAGCTTACAACTCATCAAAGTCAAATATGCGTATGTACCACTACACATGTATGTACAAGTACTAGGCGTGAGCCTTACGGAAAGTCATCTAACAAATAGCCGCTTGATGAGCTTTACACTGCACGTGTGACCTTTGAAACGCTTTCAACCGCATTACCTGCTGTTGCTTACTTTATTCGTTATTTTTTCGTATGCTTTATAGCAGCCACTTAATCTCTTAAGAACTGAAAACGAAACCTAAATATTTATTTATCATATCATTGCTCTCCACGCGAGCTCCTCAGCATATACAGCAGCTGGTAATCGATAGCTTTTCCCCAAAATTATTGTCACGCTTAAGTGAGACATGCTGACAGCGAACAGCGTAAGGATTCACGGATACGCACGGTCTGAAACAACGTGTTTGGCTTAACAATTGCAGCGCAGTCACTGTGTTTTTATTTAAGTACTTATTTTATTTCCTTTATTTTTTTCGTTTACCCACAGCGAGTGAGCTGCAAAGTGAATATTAGTGTGAATTGACGTAAATTGAAAAATAATATAACTTTGGCGTCTGCTTGGTAAGTATTCCTTAGCACACAAATAATCAGCATCCTTGCCATTGCTATTTGCCCCTGAAAGTATGCTTTTTGAACTAGCGCTAATGGCAAACAATAACAAATAGAAGCGTACTCTTTAAAGGGTGCCAAAAGCTCTAGCCGGAGACACATTGATTACTTTGACCGCCAGACCGAGGATGTATGCCAATTTGAACGTTACGTATACGCCCCAGTGCTCTAAAGTAAAATTCAGCTGAGAAGAGCACATGCTTGAGTTTGAAATAAGGGTGATATGCATATTGGTAAGTATTTAGATTCTTAAAATTCTACATCTTAAGGATAATGTAAACAGCGGTTAAAAAATCGCGTTGACTTTTAATAATTTTTTTTTTGCTGACGGAATTTTGCACTTTTTTTACATATAAACCGGAATTTCTTATGAAATAAAATGCGCAAGACCGTTCGCAACAAAATTTAAAAAAAATCAACGCTAGTTTTTATAAATTGCATTTGTTATATAAAAAAAAACGCAAAAGCCGTCAACACAAAAAAATAACTACATTTTTAGTTTTTTGAATTATATCTGATTTTTATCAAAGAAAAAAATAATATGTTCACTTTTCGCTTGGAAAAAATTTAAATCGAAATATATTTTACTACCGCCCGCAACACACAATCTATAATTTAATACATATTTATTTTTTGTTTCCAACTCTATTTTTAATTTTTTTTTTTTTGTAATTATTATAACTCTCAAATATTTCATTTTGTAGAATTTTTGAGCCGTAATTCGAATTTTCTCGCGAACTAAACTTTCTTAAAGGCCCTTAAGCAGCAAGCCAAAAATTCCAACGAATTTTATTTGTAGCAATGTGAGTTAAATTGACTGTTTTTCCAATGAAAAATTGTTGCATATTTACTGTTTCCAAGTATAATTGGTGATACCGAGTCCTATAGTCTAGTAGCCATTCGAAATTCCTCTCCCTGCTCATACAAATATTTTGCATCCCCATTCAAAGTAAATTTTTCCATTGGTGGTATCACATTTCTCTACTAATCGCCTGTTGCTAGATGTCAGAAAACAAACCGTAGGCCACCAGTTGTTTAAATAACGTTTTCGGCATAATTAAGTATGCATTTGAAATTCAATGGATTTATTTTTAAATTTTTATTTCTTTTCCCCTCTTTTTAGTCTATTTCTTTTTTAATTTAAATCATTTTCAATAGCCAGCTGCTGATGTATATCTACAATAAAATTCATCGCAAATTGCCCTTACTCTTTAATAGGCAGCTGTCAACAGCGAGCTGGGTCACTTGTGACACCAGTACTAAAAAAATACCAGCAAAGCATGTTTATCCACCTCTGCGTTTCACTCGCCAAAGCCAATAGTAGACAGCGTTTCGTTTTTGATATGCTACAGTTGTTTTCTTTTATTTTTACACGTCAACACTTCACCGAAGATTCTTCTTTGGCATTACACTTTTTAACCTTAGTTAATTTGTTGGTCATAAGCTTGTGTAGCAGCTGTCAAGTCCTTAACACATAATCTTGGTGGCGAAAGAAAAATGCGTAAGCACTGAAAGTTTTATGCCGAAGGGAGTTAAATTAATATGCTGAGGTTTCACTTTACCCGGCGCCAAGCCTTAGTTTGCCATAGCAAACCGAGTGGATTAAGTCAATAACTATTTAAATAGCTTAAGATTTATAACGAAATGGATGGAACATTTTATAGAAGGCTTGCAGTCCCGGCAATGTTGCTAAGTCCGGCTCTAATCTATGTTCGGGTTTTGGCCCATATCAATTTGAATTTCAGAATTAAGTTAAATCGCATTTGCTGCTAGTATTTCAATTGCATGCTCACATACGAATATGCACACCCCATATATGAGCGAATCTCAGGAGCTTGTTTTTTTAGTCTCGCTTCCTTCTCTCACCAGAGAAGAGAAAAAAAGGTTAAAGCATTCTTCTTGCATTTATTTCCATCAATGGAGTTCCAGAAAAAAGTAAAACAAAAATTAATCAAGTATTTGAACATTTTTAGACTTAAAACGTGCATATGCAACATACCTGTGAAGTTTCAAGAGTGTGCCACCAAATTAAAAAAGGGGCAGCATGCAGAATATCTGTCGCAGCTATTTTGTAATTTTTGGAATTTTTCTTCTTTCTTTAATTCTAGTACTTCAAGATACTTCAAAATATTAAAATTAAACGATGAAAATTTTTTTCTTGCCAAAGCGAAGGAATCTAGTGCAATAAAACAAGTGCGCCCCCAAATGAAAAAAAAATACATTGAGTAAAAAATGACTATGATCTGAGAAACTAAAATTCCATTTTTTTAATTTTTATTTGCACATTCGAAATTCATTCTAAAATTGCGCATAAGGAATATGTACTGTGTAAAAATCTTAAAAGCTTATATTTAATCACTTTTAAATAATAAGGCTTTTAAGTTGGCGCGTGCAACTAAACGTGTTAGATGAATGAACGTTACATACATACATATTTTACTTTATTTAGTATTTTTATAAGTAGGGCAATAAATTCTATAAAAAATTAGCGTAAATTTAGTTGCCTTAGAGACAATTATAAAATTGGAATAACAAATTTTCCCAATGGGAGAATTTTCTTCTTAGTAAATAGGTAATTTTAGGTTAGTTTTTTTTTGACCACCCTAATGTACGCAC